GAGGGCGAGGCGATGGGTGGCAGGGCAGCCACCCCGCTCCCTTTAATTCGCGTGACCACCACCTCCTCCTCCTCTGCCCGGGCGCGTGGGGCTCTGGGGGGAGCAGAGCGGGATGTGCTCCATCGCCTCTTGGATCTTCAGATGCCCCGGGGTGACGGACCGGAGCGGGACGGCGTGCTGCGAGGTGCTGGGCGCTTTCTCCTGCGGGGAGCTGAGCGTGGGAGCCGCGCCGAGGGGTCGTGGAGGCAAATCTCCTTCCCTCGCCGCTCTCCTGCCGCTTTGCCGAGCTGTGCTGCCGGCAGCCCGGCTACTCTAGCAGGAGAAATCATTTCCATAGAAACCAATTGGGATGTTGTACGGGGAATAATGATTAATAGGGAAGGGATGTTGCCTCAGGCCCTTTTCATTTTTTAGGGGGCAGCAAGGGACAAACCGGAGCACAGGTGGGGGGACAGGCGAGCTCGAAAACTAATGGAAGCCGTCCCTTCCATTAATTTCCAGGGCAGCTTCCCCTCTCCTCCTGCCCTGCCCTCCCCAGCCCCCGCTGCTTCTCAGCTTTCGTCAAATTTTCAAAATGGCTAACCTGGTTAGAAATAATCATAATCATAAAAAAGGATGGATGAGGTCTGACTACTAACATTGTTGCTGTTAGCAGCAGGATTTCAGCCATAAAACATGAAGCAAGGGAGGCATTGACCTTTCCGCTGTTTGAAATGAATGGAGACATCAATATCTATTGTTTTGTGGCATTGACCTCCGACGCTCTCGTTTTGCCCTCCCCTTTCTTTTTTTTTTAATTCCTCCCCCCCCCGACACTCGAGGAAAGGGGTCAGTTTGTACCATCTATTGATCCTGATCTTACCTGGTGATAGGGAAATAATTAGAATTTTAAAGATCTCTGGTGCACGCCGGCGAAATACATAGAGGCGCGCGCGAAGCCCCCGCTCCCCGCGTTGCGTTCTCCTCCCTTCCGTGCGGAGATTCAAAGCTCCGAGATCTGAAGGAGGACAGATCAATATAGGTTTAATCATGATGGGGGGTTTTATTTCGGTTTTTTAAATGGTAAACTGTAATGTTTTATGTTAATGTTGTCAGAGTCTGGCTGCCTGGTGCCTTGTTTTATTTATTGTTTTAAGTAGCCCCTTCTTTTGTGAACTTCATCTATGTACAGAGAATGTGAAATCAGGCATTGCTAATTAGCTGTATGACAATTAAGTAATGTAGCACAAAACCATTAGGACACTGGATTTGTTTTTGAAGTTTGTCCTTTGAAGTGGAAGCTGCCCAAGGCTGCTGGGGAAAATGTTTTTCTATCAAAACTTTCTTTGAAAATAAAATGTCAGTGTAAGAGTCCCTATTTCTGTCGTCTCTCCCTACAAACAGCGGGTGGAAATTGTTTCTCGTGGTAAGAACTGCTGGCCTTCAGAGAAGGAGGAATTCAGAAAAGCGTTCAGTGGGCAGTTGGTCTCCAAACACGGTGGGTTCTGGCAGAGCTGGGACCAAACCTGCTCAATTAGCTTATTGCAAGGGAGCGGTGCTGCTCGAGGAGAGAATCCCCGGGTCGCCACCAACGCCCTGGGGG